TCGAGAAGGAGCTGCGGGGACAGGTGAGGAGCAGGGCAGGTCTCCGGCGGGAGCTGGGGACTCGGAGGGGTCGGTTCACCTTCCTGATCGCTTTTCTAGCCCTCTGCCGTCGGGGCCCTGCAGACCCTTCCGCTTTGCAGTCGTGAGACAGTCACGATCACTGGGCATGTCCTGAGCTCTTACTTCATGCTAGGCCCGGTGCCGGAGAGGAGCCTTCGGTTCATTCTCTCTCCTACTCTTTCCAAAAACGCTGGGAGGGAGTCTATTCCATTGGACAGAGAAGGAAACTGAGGCTCTCAGAGGTTATAGCCTTTCCCGAGGACCACCAGCTAGGAAATACCAAGTCGGGATTTTAACCCAGGTCCGCTGCCCCAGGGTGGGTGGGTGGGGGCCTTAACCATCATCGGGCTTTGCTACCTTTGAAGACGTGAGAACAGGCGCTCCTTGTAAGGAAGGGCTGGGTTGATTTTGGAATCCAGGTTCTAACTCACCCCGTGACCTTGGGCAAGGCATTTCCCCTCACTGGCCAGGTTAGCTTTATCTGTCGAATGAATGAGGATGTTGGTACTGATGTGGGCAAACCCAGTACCTGGTATAGATAGGTCTGGGGTGAGGCCCGGGAATCAGCATATTTTCAGAGTTTTTTTTTTTTTCCCCCTTAGGGCTTATGTGCTGGCCAAGGAGAGAGAGATTCAGAGATAGTGAGAGGGAAAGTGAAAAATCCCCCCCCACCCCCCTGGGAGATGGCTGTCCTTTTCCTGGGATCTTGGACATGCATGCACACGCGCCGGGTGTGTTTCAAGCCACCGAGTCCGGGACTCGAACCATGGTTGACCATGTGGGAGTCCAGCGATGTAAGCGTTGTGCAATCTGCTGGCCACAGGAATCTGCATTTTAACAAGCTCCCCAGGGAGACCGATACATAGCAAAGTTTGAGCATCACTGGTGCTGAGGCTATTTGTTTATTTATTTACTTATTTTAAGGTTTTTGCCATAGGGCACCTGTGCTTGCCAGAGTGAGACAGTGACAGGGAAAATGAGAAATCACCCTCCAGAGGAGATGGCCACATTGTAATCCCATTTCTTCCATTCTCCTTCTGCGGTTTGAATCAGACACTGCCTGGTCTGATTCTCAAGCAGCAGGATGCAGGACATGAATTGCAGTCGACTGTGTGAGAATCCAGCGCCTTAACCACCATGCCACCTGCTCCCCTCGGGAATCAACATTTTAACACGCTCCCCAGGAAGGCCAATAGATAACAAAGTTTGAGTATCACTGGTGCTGAGGCTCTTTAAAATCCCTTCCTGTCCTAAAGTGCTTTGACTCCCTGTCTGCTATTTAGTGCTATCTCTTTAAAGCAGCAATCCTCAGTGAGAGGTGATTTTTGCCCCAGAGAGGGCATTTGGCAAAGTATAGAGACTTTTTTTTTAATAAGTGGGGAGTAGAAAGTGACTACTAGCATCTAGAGGCCAGGGATGCTGCTCAATGTCTCACAGTGTACAAGACAGCTCCTCAGGGTCAGCAGGTGGTGTGGTGGTTAAAGGAGTTGAACTCTCACATGGCCGACCATGGCTTAAGTCCCCAACCTGGTGGCTTACTTTCTCTCTCTCCCCCTCTGTCTCTCATGAACACATGTGTCCTATAGCAAATTAAAAAAATAGTATAATGACAAATAAAACTAAGTAAATAATTCTTAAAAAAAAAAAGAAAAAAGATAACTCCTCACAACAGAAGAATGATCTGAGGTCAACAGGTAGCGTGGTGGTTAAGACACTGAACTCTCGCATGGCCGACCATGGTTCGAGTCCTGGACCTGGCAGCTTAAAACTCACGACAAGTCATTTGTATGTTCATACCCAAAATCCCAGGAGGAGAATGGAGGAGAAGGGACTGTGGTGTGGTGATTTCTCACTTACCTCTCAATTGTCTCGCTCTGGTATGAGCCCATGCCCTATAGCAAACACCTAAAATAATATGAATTTAAAAAAAAAAAAAAGAATGCTCTAAACCCAAATGTCATACCTTGGTTGAGAAACTTTGCATTAAAGGTATTCCAGCAATTCTGGGAGATATGGGTGTCCTTAAGTTACAAGCTAACAAACCTAGCTATTAGGATGAGTGTTTTATCCCTGAAGTCTGGTGTAATTGTGTTTGTTGGTGTCATTCATTTTAATCCAGTGTGTTGAAGACCTGGTTTTGAACCAGGCTCACAATTGCTCCTATAATTGTCAAGAAATTTTAGATGAAAAGGCGCATAGGTTTTCTTTGGGTTGGCAAAAACTGAGCAACATCAGCATCACCCGGTTTGGTGAATGGTTACTGCTGAGCACCTGCCTGCAACCTGACATGTTTATTTTAGGTTGGTTGAGCACCCACTGGAAGCCAAAAGTCACTATTTTTTCATGTAAGAAAATAATCCTAGATAGTAAACCTTTGCAAAGGTCATCATTCTTAATTAGGTGAGGTGGCAACTAACTCGAACTAACGAGATGGATGATACGTGTCTTCAGACAGATGATTCACCATTAAGGATTCCAGTCTACCTGATGATTTAGCTCCTAGATGTGGCTCAGAGGGAATCCTCTACTGCTTTACTCCTAGCGCTTACCTAAGACACTCTAGTTTTAGTTTCACAATAGGGCATGTGCACTTGCTAGAGGGAGAGAGAGAAAATGAGAAAGCACCCCAGAGGGGGGATGGCCATGCCATAATCCCTTCTCCTCTATTCTCCTCTCGGGACAGTCTGTGCGCACACAAACACCTGGCATATTTTTCAAACTCTTGGGTCAGGGACTCAGTCTATGCAGCTGACCCTGTAGGATCCGGCCACCTTAACCACCATGCCACTGACCGGCCCGGCCTAGGCCACCAGAAAAATGAGACAATTCTGGTTTTTAGGCATCTGCTGCTTTTTGCACCCTTCTCAGTGTCTGGCTTCTCATTTTGTAAACTATTGAAAGTACAAAGAAAGTCACAGAAAACCACACATCTTTTCAGTACCAATTTCTGACAGCAGTGGGCCTTTTCTCTTAACTGGAGGTAAAGGAAAGAGTTGAAATGTTTGAGAACTTAAGAACAAAATCCATGGGTCCTTTCATGGTAAACCAGTTCCCTCTGGGGAGGAGACAGCTGAAGTATATTCACAGAGAACACCTAGACTATCAGAGCTTGATGGTCATGACCATGGAGTCTTGAAACGGCCACTGAAGTGGGTCCAGACAGTGGCTTCATGCATGTAAACCTGTGCAATTGCACAGAGCCCCATGCTCGAAAGGGCCCTGTACTTGGTTAAAAATACTCTGCCGTAGCTGTTTGACCTTTTTTACTGTTTTTGAATAAGGGACCTTACAAATTGTGGAGCTGGTTCAGGGTAGAGAAGTTGATACTATCATGAAAATATATGATAGGAGATATTCTGTTGCTTTCATATTTTTATTCTTGTCTTTTTTTCTTTTCTTTTTTTTTTTTTTTGAGAGAGATTTTTGCTATAGGGTATGTGTATTTGCCAGAGAGACAGAAAGCAAGAAATCACCCCCCCCAGGGTATAACACTGTAACCCCTTCTCCTCTATCTTCTCTTGGGATTTTGGGCATGCACACACATGCGCGTGGTGTGAGTTTCAAGTCACTGGATCCGGGACTGGAATCTCAGTCGACCATGTGGGAGTCCAGTGCCTTAACCACTACGCCACTCGCTGGACCCATTGCTTTTATATTTAATTAGATTCTCTACTGATTGTGCAATAGCCATCTGTCTCGGTGGCATGGAGACAGCTGGGTTTAATGCCAGCACTAAGGCTGATTAAGTTGGAACTTGGACATGTCATTGCCCTTAGCCTTGTTGAATTGTTCTCTCACCTGTAAAGCTGGGGAAGGTAACACTGAAAGCTTACTGTTTTCCAGGCACTGTGAAGTGTTTTATGTGTGGTCTTAGATATAATTCTCATCCCAACCCTCTGGTGTGGATGTTGCCATGTTTCTTGTCCTGCAGATGAAGGAAGCAAGGTGAAGACAGTCCCAGTTGCATGCTTGGCCAGAATTTGAACCCAGAAAAGTGGAGTCTATCTATATTCTTAACCCCTCCGGTATACTTTTTTCAGTAAAAAATATCTCCATTTCAGGATTGTGGAGAGTAAGGAAGACAATCGATCTCAAAATGTAGGCACTCAGTAAATGGAAATAATATCATTTATAAACCAAGAAATGTAACTCCTTTTATGTATGTTCCAGTTTCTCAAGAAGGATCATGTCTTGGTTGTATAATTCAAACCAAATTTCCCTATGACCCTGGCCATAAAACGGACTTAATGTTTTGTTTGCTGATGAGTTTCTGCTGTCCACTCCTTCATTCTTTCCATCATACGAGCGAGACGCCAGGCAGGCACGATGGTAGCTGTAAGAATTTTATTTTGTTCCAGGAACAGCAGCACAAAAAAGAATCAAGTTGGGAACCAGCAGTTAGCGTAATGGCTATGTCGCTGGACTCCCATGTAGTCGACCGCGGTTTGTGTCCCGGACCCGGTGGCTTAAAATTCACGCCGGGCGCGTGTGCGTGCGTGCCCAAGATCCCGAGAGGAGAATGGAGGAGAAGGGATTGCGGCGTGACCATCCCCCCTGGGGGGTGATTTCTCGCTTTCTGTCTCTATGTCTCTCTCTGTCTGTCTGGCGAGCGCACGCGCCCTACAGTGAAAATCTCTCCAAAAAAAAAAAAAAAAAAAGAATCAAGTTAATCCAGATGAAGCGGATAAGCACATGTTTCTGAATGCGTAGCCAACCCCAGCCTCACCGTCTTGCTCATAGCCAGCATTTGTGTCACTTTGCCAACTTCGAGACTGTTTTCAGACCTTCAGCGTCCACTTAACACAGGCACTTAATGAAGTACCTCTTAATCTGTCAGCTCTTTCATGTTCCATAGGGCCTTCAGGTTGGTGGCCGAAGTCAAAACTATTCGGGTTATGTCATTCGCCATTTAGCTAGAAAGGTCTGTCACACTCCAAGGGAAAAGTGATGCTAGGAAAGTGAC